AGTTTATTTAACTAATTATTAAATATATTATACTTCAGACTCACAACAGTTCCTGTTAACCTAGTAATAATTAGGGTGTAGCAACTTAGTAAAGTGGTTAAGTTGTCACACCTCCAAGTAGTATATTGGCAGGTTAAAAGATCAAATCTATTAATAATGAAATATCAAAATATTTTGTTTGTATAATGGTTACTGTCATTCAATGATTGGTTGGTTGTAACAATATTATTGTAACTTTAGTAGTACCAACAAGATTATAAAATTATAGAATATTTGTATAATGCATAAGTTATATGAAGATATGCAAACTGACAATGAGTGATGCTAATCTAAAATAATTCCTTATAATTAAATTAATTCAAGTAATTAAAAAGATAGATATTTGTTTAACAAAACCTAAGTAGTAAAGTAGCATAAACTTTTAATAATAACTACTAAAATAGGCTTCATCTAAAGCTATTTAACTAAATATAGCAAGAGCACCTGACGAATTGCTTTACCAACTAGGCTACTGGCATAAATATTGATTAGAAGAAAAGAATCAGCAGATATTAGAAGACTAATATCTCTTTTAGCCTATTTGAATTAGTAGTCTAGAGAAACTAGCTAGAGAATACTGAAAGTAATGTTTTGAAGAGAAAGTATTAGGGTTTAGATAAACTCTATAAGGGCTGAGTAGATAATAATAATAGCTTCAGCTTGCAAATACTTGTCTTTAAACTCAGTATAAGTTATTAAAGTAGACTAAATAATATAGTAATAGTAGATACTAGACTGCTCTAGCAGATGATACATTTGAAAATAAATTAATTAACTATACTAATAGTTTTATAGATAGTTTGTGATATTCTTAGACTATAGTATAACTTATATACATCACAATATTAGATAAAATTAGATAGATTGATATAGAAAACTTAGATTAGAGAATTTTAAAAGGGGATCTACAAGAAGATTTCAAATATAGTATATAGAAGGTAACTATAGAAATATAGCAGAGCCTTTAAGAAATTATATATTAACTACATTATTTTTAACCAATTAAAATTATAAATCTAGATCAGTTCAAAATCAAAACAAGAAATAAATTCAATTATTTTAAGATAGAATATATTAAATTCTGATCTTTTTACTACAAACCCCAAATTTCAACAAGCTTTTTAAATTAATACTTGGATTCTATAGTATATACTACTTAATATTATTATATTATACAAATACAAATTATTTTTTTAAAATATTCTCTTGTAATTTTTTTATACTTTTATATTATTTATATTATATATATAGCTAATATTTTTGTTTCTTGCTATATTCTTTCATATTTGATACACTTTACCAAATAATCTTATATTTTTTACTTTTTTGATTGTATATAATACAATTTAGACTTTTAAACAGTTTAGGATTCTTTGTTTAGAAGCTTGAGTATTAGTAGCTTTTTTGTAAATATTTTATTATCATTATTAGTCTTTTACTCTTTTTTGTTAAGATGTATCTAATTAATTCTTTTTTAACTATTTAAATTCTTAATAAATAGTGTTAAATTAACTAATATTTAAATTAAAATGAACTATAATAAAATAAGATAATACTAAAATTTAAACAGAAAATTTAAAATTTTTTAATTTTTAATTTTAATTTTTTTTTTTTTGTTTTCTTTTTTTAGAGTTCGGTTAAAATTTAAATTAGAATTTATAATAAAAAGTATACATGTGTGAATTTTATTAGGATTTATATTTTCAAATTTCAATTTCATTCCTGACTACAATCAAACGTTATTCTTTAAAATTAAAAGCATTTTTACTCTTTTGACATTTTACTTATTTGTAGCCAGGATAGTAATAAATAGTAAAAAATTTAATTTATTTCAGCAAAATAATTAAACCGTTTATTCTTAAGGACCTCGTGATTATCACGATGTAGTGGTTTTAAATCCGGATTTAAACTTAAATCTGGGTTTATTATTAATAAATCCGGATTTAAACGTAAATCTGGGTTTATATTATTAATAAATCCGGATTGAGATATTAGTCCTCTATATTCAATGCTTATATAAATTAACAATTGATCTGAGGAAAGGTAAATTATAGCAGATCACATATCGTTTTCGCGTAATTCTATTCTATTTCAGATAACCCCTGACCTCTTATTAACATAATTTGCTTTAAATTCGTAAAGCGTTTAAAGTCTAGTTTTATACATTTATAGATAAGTTACTAATTGGATATTATGGAACAATATTCCAAGACAAGACAAGCACAAAAAATTCGAGCTGACAGTAAAACATTGCAACGGAGTTCTTTGCAATGTAAAGTTTGAGATATTTAAGAAATTCATCACTAGTCTGAATATCACAGTGAATACAGGAATAGTAGTATTATGGAACGAAACAGGAAATGGCGCGGGAGATAAATATTTATGGTTATACTGTATGCAAACTCATTCAACGCCATTCACGCGCATTTTTGCCTGCTAAATCATTTATATCAAGTCGGTCCGTCCGACAAAATTTCTCATGAATTATAATCAAAAGATGCAAGCAAGCAATTCCGATTGTTCGAATTGTTCAAGTTGTTTTAATGAAACAAATGAAGAGATTTTGAAAAATTTACAAGGAAATGATTTATACATAATCGATTTATTGACAATTGAGAATGAAAGGCCAGTGAAAGCTTCTGGTAAAGGGATAATCGAAAGGGGAACTTTTAAACGAAGAATTGTGATGAAACGCTTTTCTGAAGAATCAATAAAAAACCTAAAGAAACAAGTAAAAATTTATTTATCATAATATAGCCTATATGTCTCACATATAAGCAATGACCCTATATTTATCTTTTTATTTCGATTTCAGGTAAGTATAAATTAAATTCGTTTAGATTCTGTTACTATCTTAAATAAGAAAATAAAAGTGTTGGATAAATCGCAGTCGTTAACACTAGCAAGGGAAATTTTCAGAGTTTTCATGTTTTGAACACAAAAAAAATTTAATGAATAACCATTTAAAATTTATGTAACTTGAAATAAGTGATGTGCCGATTTTTACGGAGATATCAATACTATTCCGACAATTGTACTAATCTTAAGAATTACACTATTCTAAAACAGATTGGTAATTTATCCAAAATCAGACATCCGAATATACAACAGCTTTTAGGGATATGTTATGGTAATCACACGACTCTTTTAAGGATGTTAATCGTCCCATCAAGTTCAATATTATCGCTGTTCTTTGAAGCTTTTAGTTCAAGTGATTTTAATATTTATATTTTGAAAATATTTGGATTGGATTAATAAATCTAGAAATCTGTTCAAGCGAAATTGAAGAAGATCAAAATTAAAAATCAGCCCATTTTGCAAATATATTCACACAATCGTTTCACCAAGGCAACTATTTATTTTTGGAAAATAAATATGTGACAAATCGAATTATATAATGTTTAATCGCAAATGATTGCCTGAACATTCAATTGGATGATGATAGCAAATTGAAAAAATCATATTGAATTTGTTGGGACTGATGAACATCTAGTTTGTTTTATAACGGTTTCAAAAATTCTGAGATATCTGAAAAATTTTGCCGATGGTTGAACTACGTCGGTAAATTATTAATTCCAACTCAGTAACTTATTCGGCCATCAAAAAAATTTTCAGCTGCCCCAGAATTATGAAACTGATGTAACGTTATTTTATAAGTTCTGGAATAATTATTTAAAATCATCGACGAATTAATGAGTTTTATTGATGCTAGCTGATGTCAGCAATTTATTGATTTTTACAAATTTTTATGTTATTTCAGAATTTATGAAAATAATAATAAAATTCTGCCGGATTTATTAACAAATTTTTTTTTTAAGACCCCGAAGCCAAATGTTATTTATTGGCCTTAGAGGGCCCGGAAGTCGGTAGCATCTATGAATTGATTTCTAAAATTAAGGATTTGAGTTGGGCTATGAAGATAAAAATTTTGAAAGATATTGCTTACGGTCTAAGTTACTTACAAAAAATCGGAATAGTTCATCGTAATTTGGTAATTGTAATTTTCACTACTATATTATTAATATTACCGAAACGTTTTACAACAAATAGAGTATTTCTTTTGTATTAGAGTACGAGATCAATTTTTATGAACAAAAAAAAAGTTCAAATAGAAAACCCAATATTTTTTGAATTAGATAGTGAAGCGAGATCAACCATATCATTAGAAGGAGGGATAGCAGCTTTTGTAGATCCTGAGCCCTTGAAAAATCAAGAAATAGGATTCACGACAGCATCTGATATTTACAGTTTTGGGGTTATTATGTGGTCAATATCTAGTGGAAAACATCCTTTCGAAAATAGTACCAATCAATCAATTTTAACGAATCAAATAATAGCGGATGATATTCGAGAAAATCCTGTTGCCGATACACCAGCCGCGTATCTTGAACTATACCAGAAATGTTGGGATTCTGATTCAAAAAAACGACCAGAAATAAGTGAAGTGTGTGAACAGCTTGAGAATATGTCGCGAGAGAAACAATTTAATGATGAGTCAAAAGTTATGACATTTGATGATATCATTGTACAAACTAACCCAGATAAAGAAGAGGTTGAAAAACAAGCATCCAAAAAAACATCCTGGACCAAAAAAATCAAAAACTTTCGCAATAAGATTATAAAATTTATTAAATGTGTAGATACACGTAAAAATGGTAAAAAAACATTTTAAGTTGTTTTTTTATGCGTTTTCAATTGTTTTAAAAAAATTTTTAAATCAACAGCTGATGCTGAAATTTATTCAAGTCATCCGTGACATGTATTAACGGTGTTTCTTAGATTGAGTTATTATAAAACACGCCTATGGTGATTTACACCTATTATATGTTTTTATTATTTTTCTGTTTTTGTAAGTTTGCTTTATGGTTAGTATTTAGGGTTAGAACACCCATCATAGGTGTAAACCACCATAGGTACGTTTTAGTAAAAATATCATAATCTCATCATTATTGTATATATGTTATGAATTTATGTATATATATATATATATATTTGTATTTTCCCTCCTGAATACTATATGTTGCTAAAATAAAAGAATTCAATTTGGTTTTTTTTTTTAAACACGATCATGATTGTCAGATTATGCCAGTTTGTGTCATGATATATTAAACATTTTTTAATAAGAATTAAAAATCAATGAATAAGGTCGAGTTTTAAAAGTTTGCCATCTTCAGATCCGCGACTTCAACTATGAACTAACTTTGATTTTAAACGTGTAGTCAAATGTGATATAAAAATAGTTTGCGATGTCCAGAGCAAATGTTCAGTTGTTATTGTTATCAATTAAAAAATCAGGCTTATTTAAAACATACTCACTACTGTTGGCCTTTCCATGCTTGGACCTTTACATTCGAAGGATTACCACAACATATTATAGTTAATTTCTATATTTTAAATATCTCTTTATTTTGCTATATTTACTTTAAATCTTAATGTGATCAAAAGTTGATTATTAGAATGTGATAAATCATGTCACATATATTAAATAAGTTGTCGGCTAAAGCGGAGTTAATATATAGTAATAGATCTGTTTATAGAATTAACCGACCTCTAATAATTTTAAATCAAATGTATTTATCTAATTAACAAGCCCATTGTCCTTTTTCGTGTTAGCAAGTTTTCCTAATTTGCCTTATTGAGCGTACCGGTACATGAAACATGATTTGGCACAAACTTAAATACATGGGCTGTGGAGTTTTTATGTAACGATAAACTTAAATTCCGTGATTTTAAAATCAGGTGTAATGTGAAAAAAACACCGTAAACTCAACGATAATTTATACTCAAAAACCAGAAAATTTTCTACCTTCCTTAACGTTACTCTAACATCATCCCTAATACTTCCCCTAATACTAACGTCAAATTACTAAGTTTTTATAGAAAATGATTTAGTTATGGAAAATATCATATTCAACCGGCTTATCAGAAAAAATATTTTCACGGAGTGCGGAAAACGCATGCAAAGCGAAAATGATTTCATAGTATGCTGGTTATCAGTTATGTAAAATTATACACCTAAATGGCGTCATATGAAGTTTGTTTCATGTATTGGATGAAAATGTAGAATGATTTTATGATGTGTTCTTTCTAAATTTGCATAATGTACAAGTTTTGCCACGATTTACAATACTACTTAGCTTCATTATTAAGTATTTGTTCAAAGCTTATCGCAATGAGTTTCATAATGATACCGATACAGGTGCGTTGCAAATTTGCATTCAGTTGTCTAATCTTGTATGATTCCTGCTCTTTTTTTTTGTCTTTTTACAAATAAATATTGACCCATAAATTTCAAGATCAGGAGCAGCGTGATCATATGATTATTAAAAAGAACTGCATCTTTGAGGTTGGCCTTTGAGGTTGGAGCCGGTTTGCGCATCCGAATTTGCATAAATACTGGAACAAATTAAAAATTTAATTGTTACAGTATTCGAGTTTATGAGACATCTATAAATCTGGTTTAACCGGTCGAGTGTAAAACTGAATCTTATTATTATTTTAATAAAACCGGTCATTGCTAAAAACCGGTTAGTAAACCAGTTGTTTCGGAAAAAATCGATTTTACAGCTGTTTTTATAATCTGATACGTAAAAATTAGTGAATGATTGATTTGATTAAGTGTGTTTTCGGCATAATTGATTTACAGCTATTTTCATAACGATAATTCCTGAAACACTTGATAATTGACCAAATGATGCTCCGGCCGATTCGATTAAATTTGTGATTTGGCATGATTGATATATACGTACATATAAGCAATTTTGTATCGCGTATAATATCTATTCTATAGCTAACACCTAAACGTTTACGTAGCAATTTTTTGAATTGATAATATTTCTATATAAGTTCTATGTAAAGTAGCATCGATCGGTATAGTCGGGTTAATAAATCTAGTACGTAACGAATGATAATAGGCTCATGCGCAGATCAGACTCTTTGGACTAACATTTGAATCATTCATATAAACTTATACCCTCACTCTAATCTAGCATAAATCTACGGTAATTCCGTTCATATATAATTATCCGTCAGGTACTATGTATACACTGGCCGCAATTTATTATTAAACATGTGATACGTAAAAATTTTATTTTTTTAAAAAATCTTAATTAAAATTCATTTTATTAAAATTATTATGCCCGGAAATTTCATATTTCAAATTCAATTAAAAAAAATAGTAAAAAAATATAGTGTATTTCATTCTTGTTATCAGATTTTGATAATTCATGCAACTATGAAAGGTGTATATGGTGCCGCTTGATTAGTAATAGATTTTAAAGATGGTTGTTAGCATGATAATCTTGGAATACGGGACCTAAATGTTGATTTCTTGCTAAAATTAGATCTCGTTGGAGTTGGGGTAGATATTGAGTTACTCGAATCTACAAATAATAGTGTAATTAAAATATATTAGTAATTAGAATAATGCATACCTAAATTCTCATAATATTGTTCTAGCCCATTATTAATTGTAAATATTTCAGTTCCTGTCATTATGTTTGAATCTATAAAAAACAAATCAACCGAATACTATATTATTTTATAATTACTGTAAATAGGATAAGACCTCACAATGTTGATTTTTCGTTTTGCATTCCATGGATTTCAAAATTCTCGGTCGGTCGGTTGGATTTTTTTTTTGATCTACAGTAAATTAATAGACTTATGTTCATGTCTAAGATCTATAGATGCAGACTTATGATATCACCTACCGTAAACTGCCGTATAAAAGATCCCCACAGGCATCAGACCCTCTATGTTTTATACCCGGGTCTATAGTATGGGATAAAATTTTGGTAAAATATAAAAGACCCGGGTATACAAATAGAAATAAAATATTAGAAGACCCGGGTATACAAATTGGGATAAATCTTAAAAGACCCGGATATGATACTGGGATAAAGTATAGTATAGATGACACCTACCTTAAATCAATTAATTACTTATTAAGGCGTCGCCTATACTATATTTTATCCATAGC